ATAGATAGATAGATAGATAGATAGATAGATAGATAGATAGATAGATAGATAGATAGATAGATAGATTGATTGATTGATTGGTGGGTGCATTCCTGCCAGTTATGGCATGGCATGTAATAGTCATAGTCTTTGGCGAGTTTGTACGAGTGTACATGATAGTGAACGTCAGTATTTTTATCCACTTTTAATTTGCTACTAACTTGAAATGGGTGGGTTATAAGAGGTATAAGGCAATCAATTGTCAAATAGTGCTGATAAACAGTAAGCTTAATTCAAGAAAAGGATACATATCTTTCAGTAAGTAGCATATTCTTTTTTGCCCAACCTAACCCCAATTAAATCCCCATTGGGGATGGATCACATTTATCCTTTAGGACAGTGGTTCTCAACCTGTGGGTCGGGATCCCTTTGGGGGTCGAACGACCCTTTCACAGGGGTCACCTAAGACCATCGGAAAAGACATATTTTTGAAAACATACGGAAAACATAAAATAATTTTATGGTTGGGGGTCACCACAACATGAGGAACTGTATTAAAGGGTCACGGCATTAGGAAGGTTGAGATCCACTGTTTTAGGAGGTTATGGCACTGCAAAGTTTGGGTATCTAGGTTGCAAGGTCATAAATCTTTGCTCTCCAGGGAATTCATTCAGAAGGACCTTCAGCTAAGAATTGTACAGTTCTGTCTGAGTCTAGTTCAGATAGATTTGTCAAGCAACAATAGCTTTACAAATCTTCATGCATAAAGATATTAGATATATTCGATGCCTGTGTGAATGCTACGTGTGCAATGTGAAATTAATTTCATAGTTAGGATTTTTTCCCCCTACAAATGAGCTTAATTAACAAAAGATAATGTCTCAATAAAAAAAAAAAAACCTCAGTATTTAAGACCCCAGAGAGAATCATGTTCTCTCTGTCAGGGAAATTTGATGTCATACATAAAAGAATTCTTAAACGTGTCCAGGAAAATAATAAGGTAATGCTAAATAAAACATATATTTAAGAGGATTTTTGGATACAACACAATTTTATGCAAGATTCTTGGCTAATTTCCTAATCTTTTCATTGCCAACAAGGTTTTCTATCAAAGTCCTTTGTAAGACTGGTGCTTAAGCTATGCATAGGACACGGGCATGAAATTTAAAAAGAAGGATGTATTCTTCTGCAGTACAGCTATAAAGGCTTCTATTTTCATGACTCAGTATAGGGACATCAAGGACTGATGCTATATTGCTCTGGCTAGAAAGAGGAAATAGCAATTCCTGACTCCCACCAGAAAATTATTAATTAAAGGGTCAATAGCTAGAAGAAATTCAATAGGCTTTAGCAATCCCTCATTGGCAGGGTTTTAAAAGAACAGGCATTCAGACTGAAAGCACTTGATAGACTGCATAAACTAATTGCATTTATAAATATGATTTTTCTGTTAATCTGAGCAAAGTCAAAACCAGTAATTGCAACAGAGACTAATTTTAACAACTGTACTATGTCACAAGTAATACAATATACACACAGAATTCTAATTTTTTTATTTTATCTTTGTTAATTTTAAGGCCTGAAGACAGTATTGAAATGAACATCTCCAGCTCCAGATAAAACTTATGTTCTTTTATTAGTTGTTTTTTTAAAGTGACCAACTTTTTGTTTACTACACCTATTGTTTTTAGAAGCTATTTTCGCATTATTCCTGAAGATTTCTAGAAAATAAAGACATTGTGTCTTGTGCTTGTATTCAAATAGAATAACTTTGACGTGTGACTTTTAGTCTATATTCTTGTAACTGAGCAGTTACTAATAGCTTCGATCAAAATGTCTCCCAACTTATAGAATGCTTCAAAAAAGAAAGACCAATGTTCTGAAAATGTAATAACTTATCTGCTTTTATTCCACCAATGTAAAAAGTAGTGTTTATGATTTCTATACATTATCCTTTAACTATTTCGTGGATATAGGTACCCAATCCATTTTTTACCCCGTTTTCCCCAAAATAAGACCTCCCCAGATAATAAGCCCAATCGGGCTTTTGAGAGCATGCACTAAAATGTGCCCTTCCCCAAAAATAAGTCTTTCCCCAAAATATTGCAACACAGCAGCAGCCATGAGGTGACCAGGCTCACTGACTCCTGCACCTCAAAAATAATAAGACCTCCCTGAAAAATAAGGCCAAGCACTTATTTTTTTTGGGGGGGGGAAATAAGACCCTGTCTTATTTTCGGGAAAACACGGTATTATGTACAATAGTTTTAGTGTTTGGGATTTTTA